TGTGGAAATATTTTAATTTATCCCTTACTCACCATATGATTGAGACGTTGCAAAACTTACTTGAACACTACGTAGAGTGAAATCAACAAAACTATATTTGGTGGAATGTGTGTGGAAACATACAATGACAGAAGTAGAAGTCAAAGAAAAATAAAGGAAGATAAGCATGAGTTGTAGTTATAATTTAATTATTATTATGATTTTTCTTTTTCTTTTTTTTTATATCATGGAATGTTCACTAATGATTTTATTTCTTTATACATCATTTAGTGTCGCCTAAAAAATTCATTGCTACTGCCTTGCTAAACAAGCTATTGCTAATGACAGTTAATATGTTATTGCCATAAAAGGAACTGAACATTGATGCTTTAAAGCATACTTCATAAAAGCATTTTTCACAACTTTGTTTAAGATGTTCGATCATAGCAGTGAGATTATTTATGTTAAAGTGTTGAATTATACTTGGGTTGTTTATATTGTTCCCACACTTTTGAAATATATATAAAAAAAAACATTTTCAATGAGAATGAATCTAAATGATTTATAAATAACTTATTTTTGAAGCTTCTTTGATAATATTTGTTCCATAATACTATTTAACTGAATATTTTTTAATATTGAATTTACTAGTTTTTTTATGAAATAACTTAACAGGGAACATTATATAAACAATTTAGTTATTTACCATCACATAAAACATGTCCTTTTAGTTATTATTTAATTTAAACATTTGTATCATGGAACAAAGTTTTCCATTTAAAGACAAAGTCTTAAAAAAGATATACTAACTAAAGCAAAACCTCACTAGTACAAAAAAAAATGTGTCTTTTATGTCAATTAAAAATACCTTTTAACATTAATTGATGAACCAATATAGATACAGGCGATATAATAAGTGAAGAGATTTTATATCAGTTAATCAATTTATGTAGAAATTGTTCTTCTCATTAATGTTTATCAATATACAATGTTTATTGTCAATTTTTGTTGAATCTATAAATGAAAAATATACATTGTTTGTTGTTAGTGTTCATTAATATGCAATGTTCATTATCAATGTTCATCAATATGCATTATTTTTGAATTGGATAGATTTTAAAAAATCATATGAAATAGACATATAATTAACATTGTAACACCTTAATTTTACTTTTCAAAATAATGAATTTCACAAAAATAAGGAGAATAAACTTTTTCATTCAAATAAAATCCTCATTAAAATGTTTCAAATTTAAGGAAAGAGGTTACAAAATTCATATCAAATCACTGCTATTAGATTAATTCAAATACATTAATTTTAAAATGATATCCTAAGTCCTATAGCAGTTATATCCACCTCTTCACTGAAACTGGTACTGATCGTCTTGATTATCTGAAAAATGAATGTAAGAGTGAGTACTCTATACTACTCGTTACACAAACAAACATAGAGTCTCACCTTGCACTTATCTTACCTCATTTCTAACACAATTCATAAAATATATATATATATCTACAGACAGCAATACTACTCCATTCAATTTAATTCAAACATCAATGCACTTATGACATCAAACAATTTACACACACACAAAATTAACAAACAATAGTCTCGTGCACTCACTGCACGCTAGTCACGCTCACGGTGACACTGTGATCACAAATTTTCACTATAGATAGTCACTGGTTACCCCCGCATCACAAATACTATGTGGGTAGTCACAGGTCGTTCAGCAAAGGTAGTGGTCGGAGGTCTAGTCAGAAAGAGAGTATGTGGTCTGTGGTGCATCCGCTCCCACTGTCGATGATACCACCACTTTCTCTTTCCCAAGGTATTTTTATCATCCTCATCTTCCACACCCCTAGTGTATTGCTGAACCATTCACAGCACATCATATAGGAGTTAATCACGCCTCATTTACACACATTATAATATTCATTTTCAGTATACGGCACAAAGTCCACAATCATGCATAATACACGGCACTAGGCCCACATTCGTTTTACAGTGCACGACAAGAAGCCAATAATCATGCATATTACACGGCCCTTAGGCCCACACTTGTTCATAATATTCATTCAAATATACGGCACAAGTGCCTATATCCATTCACAATATTCGACATACATGCCTTTATCCTATCACACGACATTTAATATATATATACAATCCACATTCATTAATCTCAGGCAACCACCCATTCTCTCATCCACATACATAATATTCACCTCTCACAACACATGGCCCACATCATATTTCACAACAATTTCCTACCATCTAACTCAGCCACATCACAATATTCAACGAAATAATGGCAAATCACACACAATAGAGTAGGGTAGAGTCCCTTTTGCCTTAAATTGAAGACCCACACTCGAATTCAACCACGGAAGTGCTCCTCACACGGATTTCGGCCTAATTACATGGAAGAACTCCATGAGAATCCAAGGAAATCGAGAAACAGAGAAAGGGGATGAAAAATGAAAACCCTAATCATTAAAACTCACCTCCAAATGTTCCCAACACAAATACAACCTTCAATCAAGCTCCTAAAAGGCTTTGGAGGCAATTTAATTGGTGGAATAGAGTTTTGAGTTGAATCAAAGAAATTTCGAAGGGAATGTGAGAAATAACCTTTCTCGAACCTTAAACTCCTTTAAATCCTCTTTGGTCGCGACACTATTGCTACAACGACTCTCTCCCTTGCTGCAGCAAAAAATTCAGACAAAATTGCACTCTGGTTTCTGCAGAATCTCGCTGCAGCGAGATTGTACCTATAAATGCAGTCCAAATTGTGGCTTTATCGCTACAGCGAGAGATCTCTCACTACAGCAACAAGGCGACAATTTCATCTTTCTCCCCTAGTACCTTCTCGCTACAGCAAGAAAGGCACAATTTTATGTTTCACGCCCAAGGGCCTCTCGCTACAACGAGAATGCCTTGCAGCAACATCCACACTTAGCCTACACACACACACACACACACACACACACACACACATATATATATATATATATATATATATATTCAATCTATTCCAGTCCAGTCATAATTCACATTACACTCAAACTATACTATACGAACTTTCCAATAATCATTTTCATGTCAATCAACACATAAAATACATGTATATAGATACTTAATAATTAAACAATATTACCAAAAATTTAGGGAGTTACAAACATAAATTAAAGTTATGTATTAAAAATTATGCTCCTTCAAAGTTTATGACAATAATGACAATAATTACAAAACTTTTTATATCAATTCTAGAAATAACTGATATAAAAAGTATTTTCCACATGTTCATGCCAATACTTACAGAAATTATGTATAAAGTACATTTTACATCAATTATTTCTAGAACTAATATAGAAATAATTCAAAATGAAACATTTCACATGTGTGCACAAGTGAAATAATATAAATTGAAATCAATGAACACGATCTCTTACTTACATTCTCAAGCTTCTGTTAGAATTTTTTACTACACTATTAATTAATATGAACTTTTATCAAATACATCAATAGATATATAAAGCACTTTTTATGTCACTTTCAAAAATAATTGATTAAGAAAGTATTTTCTATATTGATTATTTTAACGACTGATATTAAAGAGTTTTTGTTATTTTTAAAAATGCTATCACATTTTTTTATTAAATTGGTTAATTATTAACCAATATAAAAGCCTATTATAAAAAGTCTTTTTTATTCTAATGTCTATTTAAATGAATGAAAAATAAATTAAGTTTTATAAACCAAAAATACAATAGGTTTTAGACAAAGGTTTAATTACACAATAAAAATTGCATTGGAGTTATTTGAATTTTTTTTGTAAACTAAGTGTTAGAGTAAGAAAAAAGCCCAAAATTAATAATAAACTACAAAAGCCTTTTTAGATAAAGTATTAAGATGGATTAAAATCTCTTACGTAATAAATAAAATCTAATTAAGAGATTAACTAAAGTATTTTTATATATGAAATATATAAAAAATATTTATTTTAGACTAATATTTTTTAATAAAAAATTATATTAATCTATAAATCATAAAGTAAATATTAAGTAATAAACTTATTTTAAATATTTATAAATTTTATAATACAACTATTATTATAATATTTTTATTTATTTATTGATAATATTTAGATTTTTCAATAAAATTTGCAAATGATACTCTTTTATAAAATATATAAATTGACTCTTTTTTCATTATATAATTATTTTACTTAAAAACAATATCTATTAAATAAAAAGCTAAATCTTTGATAAATATAAAAAAAATGATAAACTACTAAATATAATTATAAATTATACTTAGTCTAATGGTTATATAGAATATATTAAAAAAATTAATATAAATTAGTATATTTATGATTTTATTTAGTTTAATTTATTATTCGTCTATAAATATATTTTTAAAAAATTGCTATCATATATATATATATATAATACAATTCAATTATTTAAATATTTTAAAATGATAATATTATAAAATAAATTTAAATATGTTCTATTATAATTTTTAATATATTTTATTTAAATTTTAATAAAATTTTAATTATATCATTATCGCTTCTAATATATTGTAATTTGATTTTGATCATTAAATTTTTTTTATTTTATGCTTTTAAAAATTATTAATTTTTATCCTTAATTATTGTTAATTAATGATACAACTTATTTAGAAGTTATCATGTATTAATTTTTATAAAATATTATATTTTTAATGAATAATAACAGTATGAGGATTAAAATTAAATTATAATTAATAATGTTTAAAAGTTTAAAAATTAAAAATAAAAATACAAACGGATATTGTTTCGAGTAACAAGCGGCTCAATAATAAAGAATAAAGTAAGGTATCAAGTTTAGCTTTTGTTTATATAAAAAATTTTCACGATCACATTCAAGTGCGAAAAAAAAAAAAAAGAAGTGATAAAGACTAAAATTAAAATAAATATATATTTAATTAATTTTATCTAACAAAAAGGCTTAAAACAGTGACCGAGTAATATATGCACAGAAGAAGAACCAAAATTGACAAAATATCTGCTGTTGTGGATGCAAATTGGATGAGGGAAGAACGTGAGGCATAGAAGAATTCTCACACGCTCACCCTCTTCATCGTCTTCTCTCAAAATGTTGGCTACCTTCACCGTTGCACCAACCTATTGCTCACTATCACTCTCTTCTATTCCTTACCTTCAAGCACGACGCCGTTTTGCTTCCTTCCTCTCTCCAACAACTAAAACTAAATGCCTCTCCGTCGCCACCCACCCTCCGCTTTCCGTCGACCCCAACCCAAACCCGAATCCGGACCCGAACCCGAACAAGGTTGTTCTGCCTTCTAACGAATCGTCAGCGAGGCTTCTCAGAATCCGCCACACGGTAATCTTCCATTTCGCACCTTTTTCTGTTTTCAGTGAAACCTCCGCGTTTCGCTGCAGCTTCTGTCGTTTGCTTCTGTTTTGACTACTACAGTAGAATGCAACTTACGTCGTTTCTTGCGTTTTCTATAGTTGAGTTCTGGATGAAGGGACGTTAAAAGAAACAAGATTTTCAGCTTATTTTTTAAAAAATAAACACTTTTTTTTTTGTTAAGTTCTGAGACAAAAATGCATCTGAATTTCTATCATAACGCATGACAGCTGCTAACTATGTATTCCAAAATGTATTACAGTATAGTGCTTTATCTTTGCTTTTGATTTATTGATTTATTTATTTAATTATTTTGTCCTTTCCTTTTTCTTTTGAACTTAATTCAATTAATTGTAGTGCAAGTGTTGAAAGCAATATGTATATCACGGGCATTAGAAATTTCTATCATAATGCTGTTGATAATAATTATGCATAAATAATGACGTGTTGCTGACTAATAATACTAACAGTTAGTAATTTAGTATGTTTATGTGCTAATAAAACCAAAAGGAAACGGAGTGAGTAGAAGAATTTCTGCTGAATTTATGTGGATTTATTTCATCAAATAGGCACTTACAAGAATTTGGTTTAGCCAAGCAAAGTGACTTACAACTTTCTCTTAAGTTGTTTTTAACTTATTTTATAAATTTTATGGTGAAATTTATCAAAGTAAGTTCTAGTTGAATAAGCGCTTAATTTGGTTGTTTACACTTTACATGCTTTTCAAGTACTTTTCTTTTTCCATGCTCTAAATACTAAATAAATTCTGTGCAGTGATTTTATTGTCCCTCAAAATTTGATTTTTGACTGATTTCAATGATGTTGTATGATATATGTAGTTGACCTCATTTAATTGGATAAGGCTTTATTGTTGTTGGTGTGATTTATTATGTGTACATGAATGTGGTAATAGTGGTTACTAATTGCTTTTGTATCATTAGTTTGACTAATAAGTTGCAGGTGTGCAGTGTGCTCATGTGATGGCCATGGCTGTTCAAAAGCTTTACCCTGATGCAAAAGTCACAATTGGGCCTTGGATAGAAAATGGGTTTTATTATGACTTTGATATGGAGCCTTTGACTGATAAAGATTTGAAGAAAATCAAGAAAGAGATGGTAAACAGAGTCATTCTGTTAGACCTAAATTACTTTAAATGTTTATATTTTGGGAGCCCCGTACTATTGTTAACATGCTTTTTGCTAATTATGCATTATATTATGTATTATGGGAACACAATTATTTATGTCTTGTGTTGTCTGCAGGATCGAATTATTGGTCGAAATTTGCCCCTTGCAAGAGAAGAAGTTTCGAGAGACGAAGCTCATAGAAGAATAATTGCTTTGAATGAACCATACAAATTGGAAATTTTGGAAAGCATTAAGGAAGATCCCATCACAATATATCATATTGGTAGCATTCTTGCTCTTTTAAATTTTAACTAATTTAATTCCCACATGTTGAAACTTAGAAGGAGAGGGAATAGAGAGATGAAAGGAATAGTGATTGTGTGCACTTAGTTCTTGATTGTTAATTTGTTACTATTATGATGTCTCACATCGAATACTCCATCTAAGGCTTGACCAAACCTTTTCCTATGAACTAACTTTAGAGAGTGAGTTAGGTCCAATTTTCTAATATGATATCAAAGTCTATCTAGTTTGAAAATTGGGTCACTTGTAGATGTTTAGTCTTACAAACTTTACTTTACGCACCAGATTGTTTAATCTTAGGCATGAGGGTAGGGGTCTTAAGATGTCTCACACCAAATACTCCTTATGAGGCTTGAACAATCCTCCTCTTGTGAGCTAGCTTTTATGAGTGAGTTAGGCCCAATTTTCTAGTAGTTACATTCCATGTATGTGCATATGCTACAAGTTTTCATGAAACATAGAAAAGGTTTGCTTTATGGATTCATGATCACTACTAGACTTTGTGGGTGTATAGTCATTTGGGTGTAGTACCTGTAATCCACATAAACTACTATATTATTAAACTTTACCTTGTGCTAGGCTGTACATGTCAATCATGCCTCACTTGTTACTGAGATAATTTACCTTGCTCTTACAAAGTTCCTAGAGGAAACAAATATTGGCTAACTGGTCACTATTGCACATATGGTTGGTAGAATTAAGTCCTTGCTGAGATTTCTCTTGGATAAAGTGAGAATCTGTCTGTTAGAAACTGGATCAAAACACCCTGAACTGGGAAAAATTCACTGTATTATTAATTAATTCTGTTACCAATAGATGGAAGCATCAGAACAGAAGAATAATAAAAAATGAAAGGTAATTTCAGCCCAAATGGCCATGTTTTCAATTTTATACTATTTGCCAAAGTTGCAGCCACACTTTGAGCTATGTATGGGTGTTTTAAATTAATGAAGTGACTATACTTAGACAACCAATCAACAACCACCAAAACAGTATCAAACCCTTTTAGATTGTGGAAGGCCAGTGACGAAGTCCATAGAAATGTCCTCCCATATTCTGGTTGGATTAGGCAATGGTTGTAACAAACCACATGGAGTAATAGCCATATATGTTTGCTGCTGACAAATGTCACAAGATCACACAAACTCCATGATAGATTTCTTCATGCCTACCCAATACAGATTTTGATACAAACCGGTAAAGATCAACAAGGAATTTAACTAACTCAAACAAGGGAAAAGAGGAAAAGAAGCTGATATTACTTGATAAAAAGAAAAATCAGTATAATGAGTACTACTGCCTAAAGTTAGCCTCCTACAGAGAGCTAGTGCCCTCTCGCCATAACTAACTTCTTGGTTTCCAAAAAGATACCCTCTCTCACACACCCATCCCACTACTATAACAGACTCCTTCCTTAGCTAACCACTTACGTCTCTCTCTGCCACGTCACTCTTATTGCCTATACACTTCTTTCTTCCAGTGTAAACCCTCCATAGTGTGCTTGGCCTCATATGAGCCCATATCCTTACCCGTAGCCCTAACAGATTTCCAGTCAATCTTTTGTATTTTCTAAGATAATCAAAGTGTCCACTAGTAGAAGAGTGAAACTCTTGTAATAATATAGGAATGAGAGGGGATTTTGAAGGAATGACCAACCTGCCTTTATATAAGAAGTTTCTATTGTGAAAGGAGTAATGTGTATGAGCTGCTGGATTATGTCTTAAGTTTAGAGATGATTTTTTGGAGTATAGGATCTTGATGAACTTCCTCATATAGGTTATGCCCTTGAAGTCAGATAGGAGTAGAAGTGATAACTCCGTTCAACAACTTCATGAATTTTTGGAAGTGTATCTGTTGCCCTATTCTCTTTCTAAGGCTTGAAAATTGTATCAAAATGAAATCACACAATGTAGCCATCATCTAACATTGTTAGTCAACTTTAGTAATGCATTGTTCCAACAAATGTTTAAGGCTTTTCTAGTTAGTGTAAACAAAAAATTTACGACCTAACAAATAATATCTTCAATGATGAATTTCCATCACCAAAGCCATGAACTCCTTTTCATAAATTGATTTACTGAGATTGCAACCTGAAATAGGTCTCTTTTGTCGTATAAGAACAACTCCTACTCCATTGCCATATGCATCACATTCTATTTCAAAAGGAATGTTGAAGTTAGGATAAGCAAGCACTGGTGAAGAAGTAATAGACCTTTTTAATGTGGAAAAGGCTTGTTTAGCTGCTGGCCCCTAATGAAAATTATTTTTCTTGTTTTATTCAGTCAATTGCCATGCAATCTTACTATTGAGGATAATTGTAAATAAATAAGAAATATATTATTTATTACATTAGATAGCGGTATTTATTATTACATTGTCATTATAAATAAAGTCAATGACGGTTTAATGTGGTTTCTATTTGATTACCTTCAATCAAGTAGGGAAGTTATATTTCTTAGCTGTCTCACTATAGGGCCACTAAGCCTACATGTTTAGAGCACTGAACTTCTTTTGCATCTTTAAAATGATTGAGAAGAATGAAAATGGACAATGTTGTGTGTCTGATATTGGAACTGTGAAGATGAAAGTGTTAAGTAGAATAACGATGAAGAGGCATGGAAGTGCCCAGAGAGAGTGCTGAAGTTTCTGCAAGAACTGGATCAATGTACAGCAAAATAAAGGAATAAAATGAGGAAGAAGATGAATGAGTACAAGAAAGAGCTTCAGGACTTCGAGAACCTGTCCTCTCCCAACCAAGTCCCAACTGTCTAACCAAATGCCTCTCTCCCCTCCTTCCTCCTTATTATTAGCCTCTGCCTATTACATGTAACAGATTCAGTTATGTACAACTGTAACAGATTCAGTTATGTACAACTGTAACAGATTCAATTATGTACAACTATCTCAACTAACTGACTTGACTATTCTAATCCTTAGGACTCTGATCCATTTCTTCCCTTTTTTTCCCCTTCTAACATAAATCTTCCCTATTGGGGGTCTGTTACAAATTTCACTTTGCATTAAAAAAGAAGTTATTGCCTGAGGAGTTTCATCTGGTTTTTGTCTTACCTTATATTTTTTTTCCCTTAAGGTGATGAATGGTGGGACCTCTGTGCTGGACCTCATGTTGAATCTACTGGAAATATAAATAAGAAAGCAGTTGAACTTGAGTCTATTGCTGGTGCATACTGGAGAGGAGATGAAAGGAAACCAATGTTGCAAAGAATATATGGTACTGCATGGGAGAATGAAGAGCAGTTGAAAGCTTACCTTCACTTCAAAGAGGAAGCTAAGCGTCGGGATCATAGACGCCTAGGGCAAGATCTTGATTTGTTTTCTATACAGGTACAGTTAAAAGTTCTGTTTATATTGTTCTGCACATTGATTTTGCTGTTTTGATTGTAGTGATGAATCGGATGTGCTAGCATTTCCTTTTATTATTCCCTGTTGGCAATAACTATTAATTTCTGATGAAAATCACGCATGTAATGCATTGGACTTTTATGATATTGATGCAGGATGATGCTGGTGGAGGTTTAGTTTTCTGGCACCCAAAGGGTGCTATTGTGAGACACATAATTGAAGATTTCTGGAAGAAGATTCACATGGAACATGGTTATGATCTACTGTACACACCGCATGTGGCAAAAGCTGATCTTTGGAAGGTCAGTGGTCATCTGGACTTCTACAAAGAGAATATGTATGATCAGATGAGCATTGAAGATGAGCTTTATCAGCTTCGGCCAATGAATTGTCCTTATCATATTTTGCTATACAAAAGGAAGCTTCATTCCTATCGAGATTTTCCTATTAGGGTTGCAGAATTGGGGACTGTATACAGATATGAACTCTCTGGAAGTTTGCATGGCCTTTTCCGTGTTAGAGGGTTCACGCAGGTTTGTCGTCACCTTGCTGATTGTCTTGTGAACTACTAAGATTATGTTGTTCAAGTTTATGTTAAAATTTATGGATAATGTTGATTTTTACATAGTAGATGGTGTGCCCTTGCACACTAGTAAGGTTGTGCTGTTGTGTACCCATGACTGCCCTGGAGCCCACAATTCTGTAAGCCTCATGCATTGGGCCTTCCTTCTAGACATTTCTTTTGTTTTGAGTCTGGCATGTGACCTTAATGTAAACTATTTTTATAGCCTTCTAGAAGTTTTCTGCTTTTGATTTTTAATTCTTTTTTGCAAATTGAATGTTGGTAATATGGTTCTTGTTTGACTTCAATATCTCTTTTACAGGATGATGCACACATATTTTGTTTAGATGAGCAAATTAAAGATGAGATCCAGGGTGTCCTAGATCTTACTGAAGAAATATTGTTGCAATTTGGTTTTGACAAGTATGAAGTGAATTTATCTACAAGGCCTGAAAAAGCTGTGGGAGATGACGATATATGGGAAAAAGCTACATCTGCTTTAAAAAATGCTTTGGACGATAAAGGTTGGACATATCAAATTGATGATGGAGGAGGTGCCTTTTATGGGCCAAAGATTGATATCAAGATTGAGGATGCTCTTGGTAGGAAGTGGCAATGTTCAACCATACAGGTAATTCTTGACTCATGAATTGTTGAAATATTAGATCTTTCATTTTCCTTCACCTAACAGCTTAAGGTTTCATGAAAGTTGGTCCTGGACTCCTGACAGTCTGATTTGGACAAAATAAATCCATCTTATTTGGGTTATGTGCTTATGAAAATAGCATGCAAAACCCATTTAAGCTATTTTGGGTTCTGGCTTATTGAAGTAAGCTGTTGAGCAAACTTAGAACAGCTTAGGTGATTAATTTTTGTATATAAATTTCTACTAAAATAATTTTAGAAGTTATAAAAATTGGTTTATCCAAATAGGGCCGTGTATTAGAGTCTATATGACCAAGTGGTCAAGAATATACCCTTTTCTACCCCGCTCATTTAAGAACAAGGTACATTGGGCCCTCTGTGTTGTCGATGCTTGAAGTCGAAAGGATCTTTCATGAGGGGAGGACAGATATAAAACTATTCATGTACCTCCATCTTATAGGTTAAAAGCTTTAAGGAAAGTCGCTCTATGAGTTCTTGACTATAATAAGCTTTGTTGTATAAATCTCTTAACTTGTCAGGACTTGGGGCAATACTATTTATTACTTGCATGTTGGTTACTTAATCTTGAATGAAACAATAAGCAGGGAACCATTTCCCTCTTTGCTTGACTTAATTCCTTTTAACTTAAACAGGTTGATTTCAATCTACCCCAGCGTTTTGACATAACGTATGTTGACTCAAATACTGAGAAAAAGAGACCTATAATGATCCATAGAGCAGTGCTTGGATCATTGGAAAGATTCTTTGGTGTTCTCATAGAGCATTATGCTGGTGATTTTCCATTATGGCTTTCTCCAATACAAGCTCGAGTTTTACCAGTAACTGATGCCCAGGTAATGCAACGTTTGACTACTAGTAAAATCTTTGGTTGATTCAAATATTTCTGATCCTATTTTGTACTTACCTGTTTTTTAATTGAGAAAAACAGCTCTCCCACTAGGTAATGTGTTATAGTGGAAAATCGTTACATTGGATAGGAAGAATGGTAGACAAGTGCCCGTGTCACTAATTAATGAGAAGAATAAGGTTTGGACGGTTTATTCTAGGAGGAATAAACAGTAATAATAAGAATCTGAACAGCACAAAAGGTAGAGAATTGAGAAAGGAAGCGTTCTTTTATTCAGATGAAAAGAAAAGACACTAAAGAGGCAGGATCGTCTTACAAGGGAAAATCTTTTTATCACTGAGAATGACTCGGTATTATTTTCTCTTTTCCCCCTTCAATTATCCCCTATTTAACTCTAAAATAAACCTCTTGTAATTGACTCATTAACCACATATTAACCCCAAATAAAACCAGTTGTCTGGTGCTGGTTTTTTAAACTCCTAATAAAACTTGTAACTCACTCATAACATATTAGCCACCTTTTGTTACTGTTTATTCCTAGAATAAACCCTCCAAATGTTATTCTTCTCATTAATTATTGACACAGGCTGGACTCTAACAAAGAATTTAAAAACAGCCAATGTGATTTATGGTGGGAAGTTTTTGTCAGCTTTGCAGATTTGTAATAGATGCTGAAGTGTATTTATGGAGTTGCTAAGTTCCCAACTAGTTAGACTGATATTTTATAAAATTTTGAGGGAACAAACGGTCAGTGAATTAATGGAAATATTTTTCCGTTGTGTCTATAATATGCAGCTTGAATACTGCAATGATGTGACTAACAAACTGAAATCTTGTGGCATCCGTGCTGAAGTTTGCCATGGAGAGCGCCTGCCAAAACTCATAAGAAATGCAGAGAAGCAGAAAATTCCATTGATGGCTGTTGTGGGCTCAAAAGAGGTTGAAACACAAACAGTTACAGTTAGATCTAGATTTGGTGGGGAGCTTGGAACCATGTCAGTCGATGATTTTATTAAAAGAATAAAGTTGGCGACAGAAAATTCAGCACCATTATGATGTTTTTTCGGTTTGCATACGGGGGTCATTCCATTCTTTTGTATATCAGATTGGGAAACAAGGGAAGGGGCATACATTTGAAACAGCACAGTTTGTATTAATGTTGTCAATATCAGATCCTACATGGATAGGGGGGTTGTTTGAAGATCGTAAATTGTAGGATTGTAAGATCTTTTGAAACATACATACATGAGAATAGAAAATAACATGGATAAAGAAGATAATTTGAAAACCATGTAATTTAACTAAATTATAAACTTAAAATTCATGATATTAAGATCTGATACAATACATAAGTCATAATGGGTCCAAATAAGAAGTAACACATGTTTTGCATAAGAAATATAAATTAATAAACCTAATAGCATATATTTTCAACTCTACTAGATTAGCACTGGTTTATTAGATTACAATATTATTTTATATAACCTCCAATTAGAATAATTATCTTGTAAATAATTATTTTTATCAATAGCATCTATATTATCACTATCATCATCATCAGTATAAGGAAGGTTCAAAACTTTCATAATTATACTTGCAATATTAATACCACCACTTTCTTCTTCAACATGAATTAAGTTGCCTTTATTCAAATTTATGTTCAATCTTAGTTCATGTGGGGTGAATTAAGGGGATAGGGAAGGAATTCCACTATTTGTATTAGAGTAGAGAGGAAGAAAATGAGGTTTTGTTTTTGGACCCACCAGAACCCTCTATATATATAAAACTGTTGAAATGAACAATGGAGGGGGATGAACACTATGTTGGAATTTAAGCTTAAGTCAAGAAATTGCAACGATTGTGCCAAAAAGTTTATTTTAACTTTGAAATACTTAAGTTGACCATCAATTTTATTCACTTTATCTATATTTTTAGATACATATAATATATGTTTAATTTTAAAACTCAAAACATGATAAAAAAGTAGGTCTTCAAGCAAAGTTTATGAAATTGATTGTCTCATCTTTCATCAATAGTCTATCATACAGGTTTAAAACAATTTTAACTAAGACGATAAATTATATAATTGAACTAATTTTTTATAAACTTTTTTTCTAACACTGTTGAACTTGATTGGAATTTTTTCTTAACTCTATATGAATAAAATTCATGATTGACTTATTTTCTAAATCCATAGATAAAAACACTCCTCAAAAAATTTATAATATCTTTTCAAAATCTCTGATTTGTAATTAGATTTTCAATAACTTTTAGATAAGAATAAGAGAATTTTTGAAAGACTTAGGTTCAATAAGATTTTGATCTGACAATTACCCCACTGTTGAACGGTTTTGAAACAAATTTAATGAATTTAAGCAAAGAAGATCAGTGAGAAACAAGGAGAGGGACGTGTCATGCGGAGATCCTATTGGGAATTAACATTTGATTTTTTTAGAATATTAAAAGCTTAAGTTTGGTTAAAAATTACATTCAACCAAATTGTAAGAGTTTTGGAATCCATTCCTTAAGTCTAGACGTGTGAAACAATTTTAGCCACTCATTGGTAGGATTTGAATATTTATTAAAATCTTTGAAAATTCAATAAAGGCTAAAAGACTAGTAAACAAGCCGTCATTATCTTGACAAAGTTTGACCAATGATAGGGAATTTAAATGATTTGTGAACTTGGTTATTTGAAAACGACTTTGGATAAGCAATTAAAGAAACTTTACTTGAATTACCTTAACAAAGAGATATATCTTACAAAAGTGTATTGTTTGAAATTTTCTAAACTTTAAGGACTAAACTGTAATTTAAAAAAAAATTCAAAGGACTATTTAGCTAAAATTTGAGAAAAATTGTAAAAATAAAAATAAAAATAAATATTTATAACAGTAATAAAGTGATTATATGGATTTTGAACTTGTAACTGATTAAAATTCTAACTTTTAAATTCTCACCATAAATTTTGCTGTTAGTTTAGCACAATGATGTAATTTTGCGCAGATAAACTTCATCGGGGCATAATTTAAACATTGTAATTGGTATTTTAAATAAATAACATGATGACAAAAATAACAAAATAAAGTTTATAATTTTTTTTAGACACATTATTATTATTATTAATTTTTTAAAATGATAATACATAAATTCTTAGCAGAAATGTTGTATAAATTGTAAGACAACTTCCTAATGCGAAATCTTGTTAAGAAACAAACTAAATACACATATCAGACAATAGATTAAGCATAATATTAACTTATGTCACTCTTAATAAATTATGTAAGTATTTTGGCTAACTAAAATTGACTGGAGTATGTATTATTAGAAGTGATCACAATAATTTAATTATTGTGTACTTTAATGATTGATCATTTGAAGATTGATGTACCTTGTGAGACATTGTTTGTAAATATGTAATTTTCAATTGCTCAACCATAAAATTTAAAATAATAATAGAATAATTAATTACTCAATGAAAAATAACAAGAAACAAATACATAAAACTTGTTTACAATGTGACTATTGAGTTATTGAATTGCTTGTATATACTCTCTAGTTGATTATTTTTCTTATGAAATGGTTTATGAAAATATAACACTTTCTTATTTCTGTGTTTTTTTGTATAAATTAAGTGAGAGAAAAATAAACAATGGTGGTGATGTAATTTTTTGCATGGTATTTAGTTTTGAGACATGCAAATGGACATTTAATTAACTTAGTTAATCAAACTATCATATTCATGGGCAATGTTATGTAAATGCTTGAAGAGATAGATAATCTTTATGTACTTCCCATTATTGTTTATAATCTATTAGGAGTAGAGATTCCTTTTCCACTAATTGCTGCAATATGCTATATCTTGGACTGGATATGAATGTTTAGCAGTGTTAAGGCAGAAGACATAAGGATAGGGTTCAAACTTGTGAATGTATGTTATCTTTATTAACTTTAGCATTTTAAGAGTTTTATTAAAATAGGGTGTGAAAGGAACCTCTCAAAAATTAGATATTCACAAAATTTTTTTGAAAAGTTTATATAAGATAATACAAGAAAGTTAAATAATAATTTTAATTTTCAAAATTTAGAATGAAATTAAAAAAATAAATATAAAAATTAAAACAATTGCAGCAAGAAAAAATGTAATTTACACATAATTGTTAATCGATTTTAAATTTAAAAATATACATGCAAAGAATTATAAAAGAGAGTATATAATAGTCACTTGTTTACAAAATATAAATATATAATAAAATATTATATAATTTAAGTCTCATTTAAAGAAATTAAAAGGGTGTAATAAGGTAGATAATTTTATTTTATTCACTTTTATTTATAAATTTCAAAATTTTAGCGAAATAAATCATTACAGAAATAAATAATTTTCTTATGATGTTAAACATTATATCTATATTCTTTTTATTTCTCTATTTAACATATATAATAAAAAAATTTGTATATTTTTATTAAATTATAATAAAAATATAAAAAAATAAGTTGAAATTAGGTTAGAATGCAAGAGATCAAGTAATATATAAATGAATTTTTTTTAATAAAACATGAGTCATTAATAAATTTATGAAATTTAAAATAAAAAATATGAAAAATATAATTTTATACTTTCCATAAAAATTATTGAATTTTTATAGTCCTATGAAAAATGCTGAAATATAATTATAACAAAGTTTGCAAATTTTAGAAAAAAAAATAATCAAGTAAAAGAAAATAAAATTTTAATTAAGGGTTTCCTTTAAAACGAAGACGGGAGATACTTGAATATTATGAAAACAGGGTATGTATGAAGCCTACATAAATTTTACATTCATCTATGTGCCACTTTGGTTTAATTCCTAAACTTTTATCTACTTGTTTATATAAAATCATTAGTTGATAGTGATGTTTTTATGTATTATTGGCATTAAATTCTGTGTTACCTCTTACACCAAAATTTACTTTTAATTTGTTAAAAAGATTAGAGAGTGAAAAATAAAATATTTGATTTCTAAAAAATTATGATCAAATAATTTTTTTATTTTCTTTTTTTAAAAAAATTAACTCTCAAATAAATAGTTTTTTGAAAAATTTTTGAAGGAAGATTAAAGAGAGGTTATATTTTTAAATTTTAAATTAAAATAATTATATATAATTTATGATAATAAATACATAGTCAATATATTAATTTTATATTAATATATCAATTTATATTTTTATTTTAAATATATATATATATTTTTTTTAAAATTATCTTCCCTTTTCCTTTTTTTTTCTAATTTCCTTTTTAAATAATTCTTTAAGCTTTACTTAAAAATTAATTGTTTTAAAAAAAGAAAGAAATATTTATTTAATCATAAATAGACAAAAAAAATTATAAATCTTTACTCCTCTTTTTTTCTTAATTTTTTTTATTCTTAAGCCTGTTTCCTTTTTTATGCCTAAAGTTGAGATTGAATGTGAATATTACAATTTAGTGTCATATTTATTGGCCAATGGGACAAAAAGAGTGGTTGTAGTCAAATGATGAAATGATTAGTTCAAAGATATAATATACTATAAATGCCTCTTTTTTCTTCTTTTTTATTTATTTATTTGTGAACAAAATATTATAAATGTTAAACCAGTGTATAGCATGTAGTAGCATGGAACCATTCGCTATATTATAAATGTCTTCTGTTACGGCCTTTTTCACCCCACTATTTAATTAATATGTTAAATTTATCAATATAATTTATTCAATTTTTTAAAATTATTATTTTTATTTAATTAATTAATATAAATGAAAGAAACAAATTGCGTTTGGTCATGTTTTCTTATTCACGTAAGAAAAAGTCTAAAAAATAATTTTATTATATTCAGTTTATAGATTTTTTTAAAAAATAATGCAATTTTACTCTGATAATAATCTTATTCAACTTATACATAATTGTTCTTAATAAAAAAATACATGCAATTAAAAAAAAGTAATATAATAACAATTTAAATGGTATTTAATATATTGCAATTTGTTTCTTTTGTATTGCTACTATGCGAAGAAGACTCGTCGCATAAGAATTCCGTGTTTCTCTGATGGCATCAGAAATCTTTCTTATTGGCCATATAACCTCAATTTGGATAAACTCAACAAAAGAAAAAAAAATAAAAATAAAATTATTTTTTTATAAATTAAAATTATTTTCTATATCTTAACTTTTGTGAAAATTCTCTCTTCTAACTTTTGCAGAAGTTAGAAATTCAATTTACTTTACTTCATTTTTTTTTATTAAAACATGTTAAAAAGTCTATTCAAAGTAACTCATTTTCACTTCTTGAATGTGAATGTCAAAGCACAGCCAACGTGTCTATGGAGACTAAGTTTAGTTTTTACAGTTCACAGTGGTTAATTGCATTATGGGGCTTTAAGCATGAGTGAATCACAGTGACAAGATCAAGAAGAAGCAACCCTTTTGCTGAATTCTACTTTGTGTAATTGTTTTTCTTTGGATTGTTTGTGATTCTCATGCAAACGAAAAACAACAAGACCTAAAGTCAAAACCACGTTCTCTTAAGGGCTGCACAAAATCAAATCATCTTCCAATGCCAAGAGCAGCTACCACGGAGTAGATAGTCAAGGAAGCACTACTAATATCTCACCTAACACAAATGGGTATTTTTTATTGCTCAAATCCTGTTATAAAATGGAGCTAAGGCCACCTTCACCAAAACAAGGTAACTAAAGCTAGTTTTGCACTCTTACCTAATCCGAAGTAAAGATGGCTGCCACCACAGTCCCTGAAGTTGTTCTCCACTCCTCTTATGGGCAGAGGAAGATGCCGGTGATGGGTCTCGGCACGGCGCCGGAAGCAACCAGCACAGTTACCACAAAAGATGCAGTCCTTGAGGCTATCAAACAGGGTTACAGGCATTTTGATGCTGCTTCTGCATATGGTGTGGAGCAGTCTGTAGGAGAAGCCATAGCAGCAGCACTTAAGCTTGGACTAATTGCATCCAGGGATGACCTCTTCATCACGTCCAAATTGTGGGTCACTGATAACCATCCTGAAACCATTGTTCCTGCTCTGCAAAAATCTCTCAGGTGATGATTCAATTTTCACATCTCAATTTAGATCAATAATAGATCAAACTTTTCTAACAAGTTAAAAAAAAGTTTTTCGCAAGTGGTTTGGCTATGTTGGTGTTGATTTGTTGTCCATGTTGATCCATGCAGGACGCTTCAACTGGAATACTTGGATCTCTTTTTAATCCACTGGCCCATTGCTACTAAGCCAGGAAAAGTTGTATACCCCATTGAGGTATCAGAGATAGTGGAATTTGACATGAAAGGTGTGTGGGGATCCATGGAGGAATGCCAAAGACTTGGCCTCACCAAAGCAATTGGAGTCAGCAACTTCTCCATCAAGAAGCTTGAAAAATTGCTAGATTTTGCTACCATCCCTCCTGCAGTGAATCAAGTAATTAACAATTAAGTTAATCATTAATTTATTTGAATATATTTGCTCAATATGAATGAAATCATTGATTGAAGTAAACCTTCATTCTAATAGGTAGAAGTCAACCTTGGATGGCAACAAGAGAAGCTTAGAGATTTCTGCAAAGCAAAGGGTATTACCATAACTGCTTTCTCACCCTTGAGGAAGGGTGCCAGTAGGGGTACTAATTTTGTGATGGACAATGATGTGCTCAAAGAATTGGCAGATACTCATGGCAAGACTGTAGCTCAGGTATGTATGAATCTCTAAGTAGCAATAATTTAAATCTAGTTTTTACTTGTTATTGTTTTGAGGTACTGTTTTTACTTCCATGCTTAGATACTTAATCTCTCAAAATTTTACAGATTTGTCTTCGATGGATATATGAACAAGGGTTAACTTTTGTGGTTAAGAGCTACGACAAGGAGAGGATGAAGCAAAACTTGGGCATTTTTGATTGGTCATTGACTGAGGATGATTACAAGAAAATAAGTGAAATCTATCAAGAGAGGCTGATCAAAGGACCAACCAAGCCACTTCTTGATGATCTTTGGGATGATGAACGAGAAGTTTCCTAAATTTGAAACTTTAGTGTTGCCACTTAGTATGAATAAAGCAAGTGTGATCATTCTATTGGTGCTACACATTGCATGGAAATTTTGATTCCATACTGCTACATATTGCTACAGCTAGTAATCCATATGTGTTTTGATTCCAAATGATGGCATAACAGTAATCAAAATTCCAATTTAGTTCGACTGACTCTTCTTACTTTCCTTACGTTACATCAAGAACTCACAAAATTCAAAATTTCACCACTTGCAGAACGATTCAGTCAAAATAAGTAGAATGAGTCAAGTGAATTATTATCATTCTTACGTTAACAAATCAATAATTTCTGCCCCACTTGTTATGCTAATTTTAATATCAATAATCGTCACCTATGGGACACGTCACCCTTGGCTAGAATTATTTCCCACAATTTTCCAATTACATAATCATCAATTTTGATACAATGTTGACAATAATTATTATTTAAAAAATTAGACTCACCCAGTCGATGTGACTGCTAATTAATTAAGTCATCCGTTTAGATAATCCAAAAAATTAGAAAAATAAAAAATTGCTAAGAATCTATATTAGTATCTCTATTATCAATATTTAATGAATTGTTAAAAAATTATTGCTAATTTTACTTTTGATTTATTTTTAGATTAATAGGTAAAATTATAATTAATTTTCAATTATAATTTTCTTGTATTTCAAAATTGTTAGAATGAATAAAAATAAGGGTTTTAACTTTTATTTTAGTAGCCTTCTAATTTAATTTTTTTTAATTTTAAGAGTTGATAATAGAAGTTTTATTTATTTTTTAGAGACCTTGCCATCAGATATCCAAACCCATACATTGAGAAAAAAATATAATTTGATAACATAGCCATGACACTGCCAATTTTTGTATGGACAAAGAAAAGAGGCTTTTCTTAAGCAAGAGAATGAAAGAAATGAGAAAGTAAGAAGGATTCAAGGGTTAGATTTGATTAAAGAGTTTGAGATGCAGTGGATGAAAGAGTCACAAATAGCGAAAGTAAATCCACTATTTTCTCTTTGAAAGATTCCAAAGAGGAATTAATGGATTATTACTTTGGCAGAAGTGTTATATGCTTTACTAACCAAAGGACAAATGAGACTCATGAGGAAAGAAGGAAGAAAGGAAGGTGTGATTGAAGGTTGTTACAAGTCAAATCAAAACTTAATCATGGTTACAAAGAAAACAAAAAGAAGGTTCAAGGGAGAAACTTTGAGCAAGGAAAGAGTTCTAACAAAGAAAGTAAATAGGAAGATGAGAAAGTGTAACATCCTCTTTTTATGTATCTATTGTTTGATAAATTGTTCTAATATTGGATAGTGTTGGGATATGTTTTAAATTGATTGTAATAGTATTTATTAGAGTTCTGGTGTAGGGGGTCTCGTTCAGGAGAGGCAGGTTTTGAACAAGTGAGACTGAGTGCCTAAAACCATATGTTTTCAGAGCAATCTTGCTCAACCGAGATAAGTCTCGCTCAAGTGAGACAACAAGATAGACTTCACCCAACTGTCCTCTTGTTCAGGCAAGCAGAAATCTCGCTCAAGCGAGGAATTACAGAAAAAATGTGCAGCTCTCTAAATATTGTCTCACTCAAGCAAGAATGATCTCGCTCAAACGAGAATATCAGAAAATGTTTGGGAAGACCACTGTCTGGTGTTCTCGCCAAGGCAAGATATGTCTCACTCAGGCGAGAATCACCTTGCTCAAGCGAGAGCGCACGAGGTTGAGGGGTATTTAAGAGATTTTCAGTATGAAAATTTATTTCACTCCAAACCTTATGTTTTCTCTCAAATTTTCTCTAAACTTTCACTCTCTCCTCTTAGATAAAACCTCATCAAACTCTGATCACTTCTAGAATTTGAACTTGGACGTCGAATCTAAACGACTCCAAGTAAATTTCTCTAGGTTTAACTCTATTTTTTCTGTTAATTTCTCTTGTTTTTCATTTCTTAAGGTATCTTGTGATATCTAAGAAAACTTCTATTGCTGAGTAAGAGTTTTCATCAATCTCTCTCCAAATATTCATCGCGAGATAAGGAGAGCTCTATATTATCATTTACGAAAGTGTATATTTTGTGTTCATGGAGCATTATTATGTGATTATTGCATGAGAATATATGTTTGAATAATAGTACTTGTAAGAAAAAGCTGATAATATAAGTGTTTGATTATTTTGTTTGAGTAATCATGTTTTGCTGATATGAAATACATGATGAGAACTCAGTATAAGATGTATGAAAATGATTATGCATATTGAAATTATTGAATGTACTATGGTATATATTCGCTAGAAATGGCTATATTGTATTAACAATACATATTTGAAAATTATATTTCTGTGCTGTGAGTGGAAAGGACTTAGTTTGGAAGTGCTTTATTAAGCAAGATTGTCTGATTAGAAAATGAAGTGAATATGGGATAAATATAAAGTACTGGATGAATCTAGTGTGGATAGTTACATAATACACTGGGGTATAGAGTTCAGAGATGATGGAAAATCTAAGAGAAACATAAGATGGTGAGTGACATTTGTGTATGTGTACATACTCTTTCTGAGAGCGAATGCGTCTCATAACCTCACACTTGTTTCCTGGTTAGACTCCTGACTATATCTTTGCTAAGGGACTCAAAATTGTATGCGTTGTATTTGTATGCATGGGTTAGTCAATGACTATTTACCTATTGCTGAAGGCATCATATTTCTGTGATCATAGTGCACTAGGAATACGTATTTAAAGGAGAGATTTAAGGATTTATGATAAGCTATGTAATGTATTTGATAAATGCTTTCTATACTTGATCATACATTGTAATTCATGAATGATAATTGAGAGTTTTAAGCTATTCATTGAGAAAATTTACTATTATTAATTTCATTTTATTCATATTTCAGGAAAAAAGATCAAGAAGTGAAAGCTTTAAAAGATATTGGGAATTGAAACACACAAAAAAGCCAGAGATATACACGAGCAAGTACATGCCCGTGTATATGAGCGTGTATCTCACTGGTCGCGTCAATTGAAGTGTATCATCAAAATCAGAGATGTACACGGCCAGATACATGGCCGTGTACATGAGCGTGTACTTTTATGGAAAGCTTTGAAGGGCGTCTATTAGAAAACAGAGATGTACACGGCCAAGTACATGGCCGTGTACTTTTACGCGCGTCAGAAATTTAACTTTTGCGAGAAAATTAACCCTAGGATAATTCCTATAAAAGGAGAACTAAACTCAAACCTGAGAGGGCAGTTTTTTTGAGACGAAAGACTCAAAGACGGCAGGAGGATAGGATCAAGCGTTTTAATTCATCTCTTTTGTAATTTTAATTTCAAGATGTTTAGGTTCTAACTTTCCTTTGAGTATCTAGACGTAATGAATCCTAATTGACTAAATTTTATGGAATTCTTCTAATGCTATTTTATGTTCCTTTCTCTTGGGTTTAATTGAGTAGTATCAATTTTCTCTATCTTGTTTTCTTGTTTGAATTTGAGTAAAATTCCTGCATGAAATTAACATTGCTCAATTAAAAAGACTTGAATGTATTTCTAGAGATAGAAAGACGTGAGTTTTCTGTATTAGGATTAACCCTAATTATGGAATTCATAATGAACTTAATGCAACCTAGGGGTATTAATTAAGGAAGAGATTCCGATTAATCAACTGAGGGTTAGGAATCATTATCCTTGAGAAAGGTATTGATTTAATTTGGAATTTCCTGCAGCGATAAGGGTTTGGAACTAAGTAGTTGAAGAAGAATTTCAGTTATTTGGACACTTAGGGGATTTACAGTCTAGATACTTGCCTTTTTACATTGAATACCTTTAGTCATAATTTTCTATAATTTATTTTCACTAGAATATCTGTTCCTTTTAATTTATTATTCTTTTACTTTTAGCAATTTCATCAACAAGGTTTATTTTTCATATTTATTAACAATTACGCAATTAAGGAAAAGTTTCTTAATAACAGTCCCTGTGGATACAACATTTGGTACTTTAATTTAAATTTTAATAATATTACTTCGACAACGGGTACACTTGCCCAGTAATTCGATTTTTACACACCAAGTTTTTGGCGCCGTTGCCGGGGACTGTTTAATTAGGATTCCCTTTATTACATATTTACTAATTTTATTTATTTCTTTAGTCTTGAATTAACTTAACTATTTTGCTTTCATTCGTTTTAGGAGCTGATTTTTCTAGTGTATGATCAAAACCCGTTCTACTGCACTATCTGAAGAACTATTTGAATTTGACCCAGAGATCGAAAGAACTTTGCGAAAAATTCGGAAAGAGAGGCGACTGCTAGTATAGAGGGAAAACGCACAAACCCACATGGAAGGAATGGCAAACAACGAAGATCAACCAAGGACCATGTCCGATTATGCTCGTCCATCATTAACGGGGACAGAGTCTAGCATTGTTCGTCCGGATGTGCAAGGAAATTTTGAAATAAAGCCCAATGTTATTCAGATGGTTCAGCAGTTTGTTCAATTTGATGAGTTGCAAGATGAAGACCCAAACGCTCACATCGCTAATTTTCTGGAGATCTGTAATATTTTCAAGATTAATGGAGCTACTGATGATGCAATCATTGCATTTAATATAGTAATTTGATTTTTATTTTACTTAATAAATTATTTGTTTGATAATTAAAGGAAGAAATATAAAAAATAATTTGATTACTAAAATCAACATTAATTAATTTTTTAATATTAATATTTTGTATGAGACCAAGGTAATATAAATACACATAGGTTTTAATGATTTACAACACATAATGACAGAGGTGTTACATATATACATTGTAAATCATTGTAATTATTCTATGTATTTATTTATTATATTGTTATGAATAAAATTAATTTATCAATCATAAAATAATAAAACAATTGATTTATAGTAATCTCATATAATAATAAAATAATAACAAAGACAGTAATATCAATAATAACGACAAAATGAATATTATGCACGGATAATTTTTTTATTTTTCTTTACTCACTTAATCACTAGTCACTACCATTATCTAAAGCACAAATTTATTTATTTATTTTTACCTTAAAAATAAAAATTAATATTATTTTTTTAATAATAACAATAATATTCTCAAGAAGTCTATTTGTCTTTATTTTAAATTACTGTCACTATTTTTAATATTATCACT